ACATCTAATAAAGTTAATTCCTGTATATGAAGAATCAAGATCATTTTTGGCTTCTTTAATCATAGCGTGCCATTTATATAAAGGAAATTGTTTCACAATTTTCGTAGTTAATTTCCATGGTAGTGGAGACTGCTCCATGAATTCTACTGCTGATGATGTTATTGATTCGCAAATTTTTCTAACAGCTAACTCTGATAATGTTGGGGCATTCATCTATAACAAAAAAGAAAAAAACGCTATTATAAGATACTGTAATGCCCCCACGGAAGTGTGTCAAAACTGTTCGGAATTAAATAACGTTTATCGTCATACGGACTTAAACTAATTTTTGTCTGTTCAACAGAATATACGTTGTGTGCATACGACCTGATACAGCGTTGTGTAGCTGTTTTTTCCTTAAATTCTTTCAAACACTCAACATAATCATCAAATGCAATTTTATTTTTAACAACATTGTACTTAACCCCTTTAGATTTTTTAACCACCTTCCCACCCTGCACCCTGTAACTATACATTTTGCTTCGAAGTCCAACAAAATGTGTCATAATTTTACCGTTATTTTCATCTTTCATTAGACCCGGCACCTTTTTGTTCTTACGCAGTATTTTATATATGTTATTTTCAGGATAATCCGAAGTATCAAATTTACTGGAATCAGCCTTAATGATCTCCTCATATGCATCCTCACATTGCAATTCGTAGATAAAACTGTCTGTGTCTATGTACATGAGCTTACACCTTTCTGCACCCATTTTTGGTAGCATATAGGTGTAATGAAAATCATACATGACTAGTTTCGATAGGTCTAGAATTGCCTGCCCTACATACAGAGGTTTGTTAAACGTTATTTCAGCCTTTTTCAATTGATAACCACCAGATTTTCCTCTAAAATTGTGCGACTGTGGAACCGAAAACTCGAAATCAAGTTTGCTGCCCCATAGCGACCACCCCAAGATTTAACGATTTTACATACGCGGTGCTTACGTATATTTTCCATGGTCTTACCGAATACTGCATTATTCATTAATTTAAAAAGATTACTTGGACGGCTTTTCAGGATCATATTCGGGCATATATTTATTGTTGGTCTCCGAAAATCGGTTGCTACACACCGAAATTCCACCTCTTATAGCATTTTCGTAAAACATCACCATATCCAGATCCTTTAGTAGTTCTAACTTACACCCAGTGTATTTGAGCATACAGTCCCACGTATATCCGGGCATTGTATAGTACCACGCAGGATCCAGACCATAGGTGGAGAAACATTTTTTACGCAATTGCTCAAAAACGTCGGCAAGAAGCAGAATATCTGTTTTTAAATATATATCAGAATACTCTCCTAATGTTTTAATGTTAAACTGTTGCCAAACAGATTGCGCATGAGCATAATTTTCGTCACTTACACTTTCATCGTATAATTTATTGTAAAATTTTTCAATTGGGGGCAAAGTCGTTTCATTTAATTTTTTCAAAGAATCAATGTAATCGTAACAGAAAACTCCTTTCTGTGTTAATAATTTGAATTTATCTTCATCTAAATTTTGAAATTCCCTTTGTAAAATTTTCTTTTCTGATTCTGCTAAAATTGAAGCTAATTCATCAAGAGAAGCCCCCATAAATCGAAAAGAGTCTATAAACCGCAATTTAATGTTATTTTCATCTGAGTGCAGCGTAAAGGAGATGTATTTATCTTTGTTGATGGGAAGTAGACTTAAGCGACCTTTTTTACATAAATTCGAAATCATAAAGTCACTATCGTACCCACTTAAATTATGGAATATAACCGGCACTACAAACAATTTTCTAAAGTTCAGATTGCATACTTGGTGTGCGTAACCTCTGAACTCTCCACTGAAATGGTTGTGATCTGTAACGATTATGTCTTTTTTTGTTTTTGAAAATCTCTTACCGCAAACATGACATGATGTTGCCTTACATGTGTCTAATTTTTCAATCACAGGTACGCTTGTTTTTATTTTTGAGTTTACAAATTGCGCAACGCCAGCCATACGATTTGCAAACCAATCCATACAATCTGCACCTCGATAGCTCTCGAAATAAGAAAGGCTATCATCATAGCTGCATTTTACAAAGAAACGAGTGTTTTTGATATTTTATGGTTTTAGTTAAATTTACGACGCTACTTTCTTTATGATTTTCTAATTGACATTCAAAATCTGCATAAACAACAAAAGGAGTATTTTGTTGGTATGTAAAGTTTTTAAATTCAACGCAGCTCTCTTTAGGAAGGTTAATTTTATATTTATTAAATTTAGAACACAGTTTTTCATGTTCAACTAATTTATTTTGCTGATGGAAATAGTTCTGACATCTATCGCAAATAAATTTTTTCTCACGATGTTTATTTAACTGGCTACTAATAAGACGCGAAAGATTTTTAATCCAACAATAGTGATATTTAATTTCATCGATTGAATCATTATCTTCATTTGCTGGCGGTGGTGGAGGTGCATCATAATCATTTAAACGCGGGTAATATTTATTTTGAGCTAAAAGTCAATTAACATGCGTATCCCGTTTATTTTCCGTTAATCTTGCTGGTACTACTATGTAAAATGATTTTTTTTCTGTTTCAATCAATTCTAAAGCATAAACATTGACTGAAATATTATTCATCTTTTCAAATTTTGAAATTTTTGTTAGCAGCATAGGACTATCTAAATTTTCTGTTTGTAAAACGTCAGTAAAGTGTGGATATGAGGAGGTTAGTTCTGCATGTCGTTTATTGCTAGGAGTCCGAAGAGCGCTTACAATGGCCCAGTAAAAGCAATTTTGATCTATATTTTTAATGTTTATACAAGCTTTTTTCCTTATAGTCGGTTCTGGTAGTCTAATATAAGATGAACCGTTTCCCAATTGATATTTACTGATATTAACAACTAAGGAAATAATTTTATTTAACGCAAATCCCGAATCTTTTTCAGCAAATACCGATAATTCGTTTAAAAGTTTATCTTTAACATATATCTTAAACCACTCGTCTATTTGAGTTGATGTATCAATAATATGATTTTTAGTATTAATATATTTAATTCCCAAAATTTCATTATCCCCCGATTTCCTAATAAACTCCCCGCAAAATGTTGTATTTACTTTGAGCGCACAATGGGTGTTCAAAATATTACTAATTTTCCTTTTAAAAACAACTACACAATCTGCTAACAATTGATTCAAGTCCTTATGACGCAAAGTAGCTATGGAACCGGTTTTTATTCTACTTTGAAAGCTCGATTCTACATTTTCCCATCTAACCCTCTGACCCAATGTTAAGTGAAGTCCTGCCCCAATATGTCTAGTTAAAATCAACTTTCTAAAATGTTTAAAATGCCCCAAATTTGTTTCTACTTTTCTACAAGTCCCTACAGATAATTTATTTTGCATTCTACTACGAATTACCCGTTCACATAATCTAATTTGTTTTTCTATTCGTTTCAGCCACACTTCCGCGTCTCTGATTGTAAAATTATCAAATAAAATTTTCCGTAAACTAACAATTGATAGTAGAACACCGTCTGTTTGTTTGATGATCTTTTTAACCTTATTTGAAGACATTCGAAAAGACGACATTTTTTTTCAAGCAAACACATTACTCAAAAATATATAAAAATGCTCACCCTGTCCTCCTCCTCCTGTTCTCTGCTTTGTTAATTTTCCACTATTTTGAATGATGCTAGAGGTCGGCTTTTCCCTACGTCCACTTCCCCTTGGAAGATGATCGAGTATTTTCCGTGAAAAAGTTCGTCGATGACCGGCTGGTACGTATCAGTCACCCGCTGTGGTAGAAATAGCACTTCCGGTCCTAAATCTAGTAGCACGGCTTCCCAAAATTTCGACTTGACCACTTTAGCTGCTTGGATTGCAAATGGTATCCCAATTGGCAGGTCTTTTAATTTTCATTTAGGTTTGCGGTCTACAATCGAAGACGCAGCATTAATTTTTGATAAATCCATCTATAAAAAAAATTGAGTCGTCTAACTATTTTGAAGCATAACACGAAAAAACAAAAAAAAAACAGTTGCACTTAGAGACATAAAAAAGAAAAATATTAAATAAAATAGCACTTACTTTTTTTAAAATGTTCGCTCTCTCGTCTCTCTCGAAGCACTATTGTACTGCGGTCGTTGTTGCACCTTCAGCGTTGTGCGTTGAGTGTGAAACAATGATGTCTATTGCATGCGCTCGCTCAATATAAATACGTGGTTGAGATGACACACAAGTGCATGAGATAATTGTATCGTAAATATGCATATTATATGCATCATATTCTCAGTACCATTTTTATCGAGAAAGCAACATTCATTGCGGTTGCAGTATTTTTAATATAATTTCTTAGTAATACATGAATGTATCGTTTGTCCGGCGGAAATTCCAATTACAAGTTGCACATGAGAGTAGAAATTCAGAAATATAGAAATTCGTGTATGATTATTGTATATTTGCTGCCTAATTTTTTTTCAGTCAAGATTTTGATTGGGGGGTAAATGAATTTATATTTGCTATCTGAGATTTTTGACATCATTCTCTATCAAGATGTTGATGTGGGTAGACGTATTATTTTTTATTTCAACTTTCACATACGTGCTTTGCAACGATTTCTCCGAAAAAGACGCTATAGTATACCTAACTCAATATGAACATATCATTGATAATACAACAGATCTCTCTACTTTGCTGACTAACTTGCAAGAAAAGTATAATTTACCAGTGAATGGATTGCTGAATAATGCAACAATTGAATTTATGAATCGTCCGCGTTGTCAATACAGTGATGCCGAATTTAGAGCAAGTTTTCCATTTCGGAAACATGACCTGAAATGGTATTTCCCTCGAAACACACCTGCGGCCCAAAAAGATGCAGAAATGGCTTTTCAGATGTGGCAACATGTTTCAAACTTAACATTTACAATGGTTACCAATCCCACTCTATATCCTCCTGATATTACTATAACCATGGTTAGCAAGACTCATTATTTTAGAGCAAACTGTATGGGTAATGATGAATGTCCATTGACATTAGACGATGCTGGCGGCGTTTTAGGACATGCATACTTTCCTGACTCTAGCGGCACCTGTAGAGAAATCCATTTATAACGCTGGTATTTTGGAAATAATCCATATATACCCAAAAATCAAACTAGTTTTCTTATGGTGTTGGTTCATGAAATTGGACATGCTCTCGGCATAGCACATAGTGCTTCTCCGAATGCTATTATGTTTGCCTTCTATCAGCATGAGATTCGTGGTCTAGATGTTGATGATATAAATGCAGTACAATATCTATATGGAAGAAAAAACAAATATGATTCAATCCCAAAGTCTACCACCGCATCAGCAATACCAAAAACAACAACAACTATAAGATCTACAACTTGTAAGCAGTCGATCCTCAAAAATTTGTGTGATATTATTCCAGATTTTATGTTTTTAGCCATTGCTCCAGAGTTTTCAAATTACCGATTATATATTGCACATGATATGTTTATATGGAAACTAGACTTAAACGAAATGATTATCCCATCTCAGCCTGAACTTCTTGTCGATTATGTTCCTACAGAATTACGTCAATACACTTTACAACATATTTTCCAATCAACAAACGGTGACTTGATTACCATTGTGTCTCCAAACAAATATTTCTCAGCATCATTCCCTACCATTAAATTTCTTGATAATTTTTCAATTGATATACCCGACAGGGCTCGAATCAATGCTATTTTTCAATCAAACGCAGGACGGTCCTATACCTTTTATAATATAATGTCATACATAGAATTTTCTAACGATTTTACTGATGTGTTGAACAGAGGACGGATAAGAGACATATTTCCTGGGTTACATGAAGATATTTCTCTCGCATTTCGATGGATTGATGGTCATATTTACTTTTTCCGTCACGCAACTTACTATAAATTTAATGAATTTACAAGAAAAGTTGTTGCGACCGGACCATTTCATTGGACTCTATTTGGAGTACCATGCCCCAGCGAGGATTTGTTACATCAACTAAAAACTCTGTTATCTAAAGTTGTATCTGTATATCATTAAAAAATACATTTTTCTGAAAGCTATGTTTATTTCGTATTCAGCCTGTTGTCAAACAAAAAAAAAACATTCGGTTCCTTCGACTCCCCACCCCCACCATCATTCTACTACATAAAGTCTGTGTATCAGCACTAGCAGTGCTACAGTATCAATCATTCAAACCAGTCACAAGCAATTGTTTTGTTCAAAAAGAGGTTGATATAAAAAAATGGTAAAATCAAAAATAACCAGCGAGGAGGCTAATTACGAGGCTTTTAGGGAAAAAATTAAAAAACAACCAGAACTGAACCGTGAAATACATAATTTGATTCTTGTCTGTCATGAACCAAATCAGTTGTCGAAGAATGATTTGAGTCGATTAGTATCAACATCTAAAGTACTCCCTGATAATTACAAGAATCACTTAAAACAATCATTCAATCTACCTGCACGACCAGAACACAGCGATATTGATTCAGACGACACTATAGGCAACTGAAAATTTCACACACACACACACACACACACACACACACACACACACACACACACACACACCAATCAACCTTATTGTTATATATACTATATGTTTCAATAAAATATCCATTATACTATTTTCATTTTGAACGGTATCATCCTGTATAATAATAACAGTACATCGTAGGTTATGAGACATTCTGACCGACCGACCGACCAGAGGAGCCCACCACGCTATTTAGGTCATGCCTTGCTATATACGATTTAACGATATACCGTCGGTCCATCGATCCGCTATTTTTCGATGCACCCCTGTATACAGGTTCTAAATGCCCCCCGTAATCCACGCCAACACCAGACAGGTGCGACATCGGCGCCATCTATGCGCGAGATGCCCAACCCATCAATGACAGGTGTCCAATGACACATAGATTCCGTTTGGTTTGTACAGCGCCAGACAACAAATCGGCGCCATCTATGCGCGAGATGCCCAACCCGTTTCCAATGACACATAGATTCCGTTTGGTTTGTACAGCGCCATCTAGCGGCGGCATCCCCAACTCGTCAATTTCACATACAGATTCCGTCCAACCCATCAATGGCGCGCGACGCCAGCGCCTCTGGTGGCCGATTTTAGAACTACTGAGATTCAATCCCCATAAAGACACTACTTCTGTCGGAGGAAGAATCGAACGAGTCTTTGTTGGGCGACACGTATCTTTCGGACGAGTACCAACCATCTGATTCTAGTGACAGTGAATATGAATCAAGTGCTCCGGAACGGAATCAAAAACGAAAACGTGTGGCCTGAAATACCAAATCGTTGGAACAAGATGTACCGGTGGCGTCCACCAAGTAAAAAACAAGATTATACGAATTTCGAAGAACATGTTGATGCTGCTATAGAATCTGTCATTGCCCAACATTCTAAAGACTCCGAAGAGGAAATTTTAGGAGAACCAAAAGTGTCCAATGCAGTGAATAAAGCTATTGTCTGGGGGCCGGTCAACGGCGAAAATTTACAGAAATTTACATTTGAGGACCATGATTCTGCAGGTTTTGATGCACAATTATACGAAAACTTCTACAACAAATCGGCATTTGAATTATACGAATATTTTGTTGGCGATGGTCTTTTATCCATGATGGTAAGTGTCTAATTTATTTTGTTTCAACTGATTTTGATTTTTTTGAGTTTTTAGGTTGAAGAAACAAATCGTTATGCCCTGCAGTGTCAGGAAAAAAATAAGAAAAAGAGCGCACGTATTACCGCTTGGCATAACACTGATGTCGCCGAAATGAAACGATTCCTTGGTATAGTTATATGGATGGGATTATGTCATTTTACATCTTTTCAGTTATACTGGTCAAAAAATGACCTTTATTTGAACAATATCAAAAAAGTAATGTCAAGGAACCGCTTCCAGTTATTGTGGAAAACGCTGCACTTCAACGACAATTCAGTAACAACAGATGACCGTTTGCAGAAGATTGCTCCCTTGATTAGCAGACTGAAAGATAAATTCAAGCTGCCGTGGTTCCAAAGGAAAACGTGTGCATTGACTAAACTTTAGTGCCTTTTCAAGGGCGACTAAAATTCAAGCAGTATATTGCCAACAAAAGGCACAAATTTGGGATAACGCTATTCAAACTTTGTCTGGAAGGTGGTTATACCTACGATTTCAACGTATATTGTGGAAAAGAACATGCTGAAGGTAGCAGCGTACCAACAAATGTAGTGATGAAACTTATGGATGGACTGCTTTACAAAGGACGAACACTTGCGATTGATAACTACTATACTTCTGTCACACTTGCACATGCACTCCTGCATCGAAAAACTCATATGATTGTCACGCTGCGTGCAAACCGCAAATATAATCCCAAAAACTTCATTTCCAAAAAATTAAAAGTAGGTGAACATGTAGCTGAACAAAGTAATTCGGGCATCGTTGTTCAGAAGTGGAGGGACAAACGAGATGTTCTGATGATTAGTACCAAATTCGACGACGAAATGGTGACCATCCAGAAGGCACGCGGTGATGTTGTAAAGCCAAAGAATGTCATCGAATATAATAAATATAAAAGCTTCATTGATATATCAGACCAAATGAAAAGCTATAATTCGCCATTACGTAAAGGAATAAAATGGTACAGAAAATTATCTATGGAGCTCTTGACTGGCACAGCACTTATAAATGCTTATGTCGCGCATCAAAGCATTGCCAATGAAAGCATGACGATTATCAAATTCAAGGAAGAGGTAATTCGGGGCCTGTTGGGAGATTTTATTGTCGCACCAGTCGTTATGGAAAATAGTCACAAACTCAGCGATGTTGGCCGTGCAAGCAGAAGACGATGTACACCGTGTTACGCAAAAATAGCAGAAGAGGAAGGAAGGCAAGTAGCACAGAGGAAAGCAACCAACACCACATTGACATGTGATGGCTGTAAGAAATTCTATTGCCTTGACTGTTTTTTTGTCACACATTCCGTGACAAAAAACTAAATTAGTATTATTACAAAGAAATGTGATAAAAGAAATTTTTCCAAAAGTCCCAGTATATATTTGCTTATTCCATACTTTAAAAACTATGAAACGTGAGTTATCTAAAGAAAAAATGAACATAACAAATGATTAAAGGACTAGAGCCTTAGAGCTTTTAGAAAATCTTGCTTATAGCAGAAGCGAAGAACAGTATGATCAATACTTTAAACTACTGCAAGAAACTACCCCACTATCAATAATTACCTATTATAATAAAAACTGGCATACTATAGGAGATGAATGGACAGTTTACAATATGTGTCATGGTAATTTATTGAATAGAACAAACAATCGGTTAGACGCAATAAATGGCAAATTAAAGCAGGTCATACAGAAAAATAGCAGTATATCAGAATTTTTAAAAAGTTTTTTCTTATTTTTTTACACTCTCATGAAAACGAAAGAGATAAAGTAGATATGAGGCTGCCTTGGACGCCCCCCACCACCTCCACTTTTTGGCCACGCCCACCACATCCACCGCGCGCTCTGATTGGTGGACGCTCACCGCGCGGGAAATTTGAAGGTTGATGAACAGATGCCCTGGTGACCCAGCCGGTTGTGGGATGGACGGAAGGTTAGCGCGCGGAGTGACCTTGAGCAGATAAGGCTGCCCGTCCAGTGGACGCGTTTTCGCGCGAAGAGGCGAAGGGCGAAATGGTACGAATTCGCGCCTTGGTTCAAACGTGTCGATTTACAAGGGAACCCGTCCACTGGAAGCGCCACTTTCGCGAGAAGTGGGGCGAAGGCGAACGCGAACAAACCAGTTTGATTTTGAACGCGCGAAGAGGCGAAGTGGGCAATGATGGACGTTGAAAAATTGATAGTTTTGGTGCAGGATAGACCATCCCGGTGGAACCAGAAGATGCCGCAATACCACATGCGGAATGTGCATATCAAGTTGTGGGAGGAGATCGCAGTGGAAATGAAGATGCCAGGTATACTTTATCTGACGTCACTTGAAATAGCATAAAAACCTTTGGTGGCGCGTCCGTTATAATTTCATGACGTATCATAGGCGTGCGGTCATTATTTATTTGGAATGATAATAATAATGATTTTATATCACAATAAATGGATTTTACTATCTTCTTATTTAAATAAAACGCACCCGGTATTTCACGGTGTTTCAAGTGACTTCAACTGAAGTATAATAATAATCAGAGTCCTATTAATTTTCAACTTAATTTTGTTTTTCGACTTTTTTATTATTTTAAAAGGCTATTGAGTACAAACATATAATATGAGTTCTTTGTCGTTACACATTAGGTTACAAAATTTTTTGGTACCTACCTAAGTAATTAGTCGCTTCTATATCACCTTGCCGGGAGAAGAACATTTTGAATGTTTCCCTTACTTGCATTGAGGAATGTGAGCCACGATTGGTTGCCCTTCCAGGAAACGACGAATGAGAGGTGTTGCAGTGAAGTGACAGAGGAGAGGTTCCCGGAATCATATCCCTGGGATCTTTATTGATGACAATGTTGTGCAGTAGGCAAATACATTTCACAATGTGTTCAGCTCTCTCGGGCTTGACCTCAATAGCCTTGAGTAGAATACGCCATTTATGAGAAATTATACCGAAAGCACACTCGACAACTTGCCTTGCACCGGACAAACGTTTATTATAGTTCTCTTGCTCAGTGGTTAAACCTCTCAGTGGGTAAGGACGCAGTAAATACGTCTTCAATGGAAATCCTCCATCCCCGATAACTACATGTGGTGCTTCTATGTCAGTACCAGGTAGTATCTTCAAAGTGTTCGTTTTAAGAGCACCTCTTTCTAGGGCTCGAGCCAATTGTGAGTGCCCAAAAACTCCGCTGTCACTTTGTTTTCCGTAAGCTCCGACATCAATGCAGATGAATTTATAATTCGCATCGACCACTCCTTGCAATATAATTGAAAAGAACATTTTGTGATTGTAATACATACTTCCTGAATGAGCTGGACTGTTAAATGGAATGTGTTTCCCGTCTATGCAACCAACGCAGTTGGGAAATTTCCACTTTTCCCAAAACTCAGAGACGATGTTGTCAACTTGATTGTCAGATGGAAAGGGCATGTGTTCATCATGCAAGCTATCCCAAATCACTTGACAAGTTTCATGTACGATGCGTCCGATGGTCACTTCGGAGATCCGAAACGAATAGCTTAATGAGATGAAAGACGAACCGGTAGCTAGGTAGCTGTAAAAAGAAACATAAAAAAATACACCACAATATTTTAACGTTTTATTTTTTTGCGATATTTTCTGTTGTAGTAAATGATGTCAAGAAGAAGCGGAAAGGGCTGAGAGATACGTTCAGGAAGGAGTTGAAAAAGGTTTTGGAAGAAAAATCAGGGAAAGGGGCCGACTTATCGAAACTTTGGCCTTATTTCACGCAAATGGAATTCTTATCCGACACCATGATGCCAAAGGATACACAAACAAGCATCCCAGAGTCACAGGAAGAGTTTGACGGTATCTCTTTATCTGAGAGTTCTGTAAATGAACCTGATGAAAACAATGACCAACTATCACAAGATGAAACAATTGAAGTAATTGAACCCACGAAAAGAACGGAATTCAAAAGCCCATTGAAACGCAACCGAAAAAAACAAAAGAGAGATGAAATGGATGACAAATTTTTGGATATTGAGAGGCAAAAGTTTTCATTATTTTCAAAGGCTGCTGGCGAAATGAGAGATGATGACTATCAATATTTAATGAGTCTCCTGCCATATCTGCGAAAAGTTCCGCATGCACATAAACTACAAGCCCGAGTGGAGATGATGAATGTGCTCGTGAAATACACCACTCCTCAGTGTTCACCCCTATCATCACAGCACATGACTTCGTCCCTGGCCTCGCCGCCTTCTTCTCTGCACAGCGAATCTTCTTCAAACCTTCAAGAATTTTACAGTACTTTCAATCCTGCCGGAGCGCATCCACCAAATTTTCATCAATTTCAGTAGCAAGGGGCAAATGAATAGCGTTTTTTAATGAAATAAAAAATATGTTGAGTACTACTTCATTTCCTTAAAAAAAACTACCTACAAAATAATATATACCTACTTCCATTGAAATAACACCTTTAACTGTTACCAAATACAACAATTTGATGCATAATAATACGAGTATCATCACCGAACTTACCTCAACGTGACAGCAAGGCGTTCTGCTGGAGAAACTGTGTCTCTGAAGTTGGACGATCGTTCAATTCGGTCCTTAATCTTTGAATGTATATATTCAAAGGTGCTTTTTTCCATCCTGAAGTAGTTGAAAAAACCTTCGGACGACAGATCCTTCTGAAGGTGGAACCACTCTCCACATTCTCGATGAACAAACACGTTCTTCACCCATTCATGCCTCATGTTCCGACTCATCTTTCTTCTTCTTCTTCTCATTAGAACGGATGAATCCAATGCATATAATAGCAAAAATTCTGAGAGCGGCATTCTGCGTTCGTACACGGAGATGAGAGGTGACTGAGTTCGCGTCTTCGCGAGCGCGGCAGATCGCTTGCAATGGACGGGATTCCCTCGCGCGAAGACGTGAAGAAGCGAAAACTTGTGATTTCGCCGTTCGCCTCTTCGCGCGAAAACGCGTCCACTGGCCTAACTGTTGAACAGCTGTGACCGGCATCGGTGTTCGGATGTAATTATAGTAAGGTATACAGGGAAGAATGTTAAGAGGTAGCTGGAGCGAAAAAATGGCGGTTGATGGTATACAGGGTGATTGAAGAATGTTAAGTGTGGTATACAGGATAAAGAATGTACAGGGCTGCTGGAGCGTAAAAAATGGCGGTTGATGGTGTACAGGGTGATTGAAGAATGTTAAGTGTGGTATACAG